ACACACACACACACACACACACACACACACACACACACACACACACAATTACTTACTTCCCACTGCCTGAATGATTTTTAATGAAACCATTCCCCATAAGCACCTTGGACTTAGGCCATAAAAATACCAGTGGCTATTGTCTTCGAAAGTCCCTGTTACGTGGGGAAGTTCACAAAAACAATGGCTATAAATTTAATGATCTTTCCACCAGGCATTTTACATATGCTATCTCAGTTAATGTACCCTCAAAACAACCCTAGGAGTTACCTACAGAGGAAGGGTTAAGGCACAGACGGCTTATTGCTGGGGAGGACAGTGGTTGCCCACCTAGCCTCCATCATCTTGTTCTCCCTTCCCCACAGAATCCCAGCTGGCTCCCAGAGGTAGTGGTGGAGGTGTTAAGAAATGGTTGAACTCTAGATATATTTTGAAGATATAATGCCCAACAGAATATGTGAGAGACTGGCCGTTAAGTGTGAGAAAAAGAAAAAAGTTAAGGATGAGATTGGGCATGAAAAGTGTTGGGTAAACTGGAGGACTTCATACAAGTACAAAATTATACATTTTATTAAGAAACGTGAACTTCTCCATTATGGCCTCTCTCCGCCATGGTGTACAGAGACCCTTTTTGGCTGGAGGAAGTTTTCCCCTCTCAGCCAGGCTCCGTCATTGCAATTTCTTCTAATTATTAGTGTGCGCAGACTCAGAGGGAGCAAATGGATTTCAAGAAGAATGTTGCCAAAATAGGCAGAAGGTTCCATCCCAAGCTAAAAATAAACCATTTTTTAATCCATTGGAAAACTTACCTCAATAATCCAGAGCCAGCTGTACCCTATCCTAGCTCCTCCATGATGCCCTTCTTCCTCTCCACAGCTCACAGCAGGCAGGGAAGACTGAGGGTCTTCAGGCTGCTTCCCTGACTCCCCTAGGATGGATGCGTGTGGCTGGAAAGAAATGGAGGTTGCCCTGGTCAATTTTGATAACTCAGATGAAATCCAGGAAGAGCCAGGCTATGCCACAGACTTTGACCTAACCACCCCAAAAGGCCAGACTGGGAGCAGCTCCTTCTCCAACTGGAATATCTTCAACAACGACAGCACCAACCATGAGACGGCCTTCTCCAAGCTCCCAGGAGACTACATGGATCCCCCAGGGCCTGAGGCAGCGGTCTTGAATGAAGGAAACCAGCGGGTGATCATCAACATTGCTGGGCTAAGGTTCGAGACCCAGCTCAGAACACTCAATCAGTTCCCAGAGACCCTCCTGGGAGACTGGGAGAAAAGGATGCAGTTCTTTGACTCCATGAGAAATGAGTATTTCTTTGACAGGAACCGGCCCAGTTTTGATGGAATCCTATATTATTACCAGTCTGGTGGGAAAATCCGGCGCCCGGCCAGTGTCCCTATCGACGTCTTTGCTGATGAGATCACCTTCTATGAACTGGGCAGTGAGGCCATGGACCAGTTCCGAGAGGATGAAGGCTTCATCAAAGATCCTGAAACATTGCTCCCCACCAACGACATCCACCGGCAGTTCTGGCTCCTCTTCGAGTACCCTGAGAGCTCCAGCGCCGCCCGTGGTGTGGCCATGGTCTCTGTTTTGGTCGTGGTCATCTCCATCACCGTCTTCTGCCTTGAGACACTTCCCGAGTTCCAAGAAGACAGGGAACTGAAGGTGGTGAGAGACTCCAGCCTCAACATGAGCAAGACCGTCCTCTCCCACACCATGTTCACCGACCCTTTCTTCATGGTGGAGTCCACCTGCATCATGTGGTTCACCTTCGAGCTGGTGCTCCGCTTTGTGGTCTGCCCCAGCAAGACCGACTTCTTCAGGAACATCATAAACATCATCGATATCATCTCCATCATCCCCTACTTTGCAACCCTCATCACGGAGCTGGTCCAGGAGACAGAGCCGAGCACCCAGCAGAACATGTCCCTGGCCATCCTGAGGGTCATCCGCCTGGTGAGGGTCTTCCGCATCTTCAAGCTCTCCCGCCACTCCAAGGGGCTGCAGATCCTGGGGCAGACGCTGAAGGCTTCCATGCGGGAGCTGGGGCTGCTCATCTTTTTCCTTTTTATTGGGGTCATCCTTTTCTCCAGTGCAGTCTACTTTGCTGAGGTAGACGAGCCAGAGTCCCATTTCTCTAGCATTCCTGATGGCTTCTGGTGGGCGGTGGTCACCATGACAACTGTGGGCTATGGGGACATGTGCCCAACCACCCCAGGAGGGAAAATTGTGGGTACTCTGTGTGCCATTGCAGGGGTCCTCACCGTTGCCCTCCCTGTGCCTGTCATTGTCTCCAACTTTAACTACTTTTACCACCGGGAGACTGAGAATGAGGAGAAGCAGAACATCCCAGGAAAAATTGACAAACTCCTCAACAGTGTGGGCTCAAGAATGGGCAGCACAGACTCTCTTAGTAAGACCAACAATGGCTGCTCCTCAGAGAAGTCTAGGAAGTGATGTGTCCAGGGCTTCTTGGCCCCCTGAGTCTCCGAGTCTCTCTGTGTCTCTCTCCCCAGCCCACCTCTTGCTCTCTGTCTTTTCAGAAACCAAAATGTATCATTTGTGACGAACAGGCCATCTTTGATTGGAAGCTATTTTAATAAACTGATACTTCTGCTCTATTTTCTGAGCTGTGTCTTTTCAATCGACTGTAGAAAGGTCCTTTCCTATGAGGGGGTAGTTCAGGTCCTTGCTACTCACCTGTGGTCCCCAAGACCATCAGTATCAGCATCATCTGGAAGCAAGGAAATACAGAATCAAAGGCCACCTCAGACCTGCTGAATCAGAATCTGCATTTTTACAAAATCCCAGGGGATTCATTGTCACATTAAAGAGGAAGAAGTCCTGGCTCTGGTGTCCCTAAGAGGAAGCACATTAAACGGCCAGGGATGGCTATGAGCAATGAGTAAGTGCTCAGAGTTGTTTGATAATAATACCATACAGTTGTGTAGCATTGCATACATTTTCCAAAGCTCTTTCACCTACATCATCTCACTGCATCTAAAAATAACCAGTAGAACAGATTTGATGATTATTTCCCCTTTGCAGATAAACAAACCAGGAGACAGCAACTTACCTAAGATCACCCGGAAACAGTGACACAGTTAGCGCTGGAGCCTGAGTCTCCTACCTACTGGTCTGGTGCTCTTTCTACTAATGAAGAGAATGTGATAGAATTGGGTGCAGGAGGAGAGGAACTTGAGGGGTCGGTCTTTCAGAGGATCCAGGAGGCAAACTTCTGGGCAAGCAGACTCTTCCCGCGGGGTCCCCCTTCTCCATGCAGCCTGGGAGGCAATGCCGGCCTGGTCCCCTTGCTCCTCAGTCCCTCCCTTGGACAGTGGACAAGTAGAAACGTTCCCAGATGTTTTTCTCTTGGCCCATCTCCATGAATTTGTGCAAAGACTGGGATCCTGAGTTTGGGAAGTATATATACCAAGGCCTCGGAGAGCTGCTCCAGGAAAGTCCACCTGCCTTGGGGTTCAGCTCCCACTGAGTCATCAGGAATTGACCAGTAGCCTGTGGGGCAGCTGGGGCAGGAACAGCAGGAGCCTAAGACATGTGTGCAGAGGCCAGGCACACACACACACACCCCGCCCCAAGGAGGGCTATTGTCACAGGAACTGCCCTCTTGGGAGAGGATCTTCCTCAGTCCATCAAGCTCCCAGGATTGGAGAATGGAGTTGGGATTCCCCAAAAGGCAGGAAAGGAAGTCTCCCCTCTGTCCCTCCCTCCTCACCCCTCAAGTAAGGAGGCCTGTGCCTTCCTCCGACCCAATACTCAATGTCTGGCCATGCCTCAAAGGCGAGTCAACACCAGAATAATGCCCCTGGGCTGCAGGCCACTGCACAGCTCCACTGCACACCCACAGCACACAGCCCTGGAACACGCCCAGATCCACACAACTGCAGCCCCAGGTACCATCACACAGCTTCCACTTCAGGACAGTCGAACAGATGAACTGGAGTGGGAGGAAGCTGCTTCTTTCCTTTCCTACGTCCTTAGTCTGGGCCCTAGGAAGCTGGACTTAGCCATTTTAAGTCCCCCTCCTGCTCTAAAAGTCTCAATCTCCTTCTTGCATTTTAAATCCAAGATGTAATTTAGCACTGAGTCATGAAAAGATCTAGCCTTGGCTTTACAGCCCTTGGACCTGGGCAAGCTGGACTCCTGTCCCAGGCCTGAGCCTCAGAGTTCTGGGCTTTGGAATGTCTTCCTCACAATTTTCTAAGGTCCCTTTCAATTCTTCCTCTTCAGGTCATTCTCCAATTCTTTACCCACACTTCACTTCCAAGCATGTGGGGTTGACAAGATGTCTTGGACTTCCACCTGTGGGATTGCCCTGAACCTCTGTGCCAGCCTCCAGTGCCAAGATGGTGGTCTAGTGAACAGATCGCTCCCACTGTCTTTTGTGGCATTTCTTTTACAGGATCACACAAGCTCAGATGCCAGGATGGTGATTGCACTCTGATTTGGGGCGATGTAAATTTTTATATACACCAGGCCCTTACAAAAACCATTTGCCCAGAATCCAAAGCGTATTTGACAAAAGAGCCCACATGCCCACATTCTGCCTTCTGGGAGCCACGTCATCATGATCTTTTACACCAAAACTTCTCTCCACAGAGAAACCCTTTGCCCTCACACGTCAGCTCTCCAATTTTGCAACGTGAGGAAACTGGTTCAGAGAGGTTCAAGGACACATGGCCAGGAAGCAGTACAGAGGGATGTGAATTTAGGTCTCTTTGATGCCAAAGTGTATCCCACCAGGCTGCCTGCTCAGAGCACCCTAACCCGGAGAACGGCTTCTGCTGGGGCAAGGAAGTGGAGCTGTGTCATGCAGGCAGGCTTGGTGCATTCCTGGGAACAGGGAGGCTCTTCTCCTAAGGCCCCTGCTTTCTTATTCTCTCTGATTCCATGTTCAGTGGCTGAGCCACAGGCTGGCCTTACACCTTCACATACTGCAAACAGGGTAAGATAATGAGACCCCAGAGCAGACTGGACCAGTGCCCCCAGAGGCCAAGATAGAGCCCTGGAGCCTACAGCCCCAGCCATTTTCTTCCTGGGATCCTGCAGGAAGAGTCCAGTCTAGCAGGACAAAGGGAGCCACTCTTTTTCTCTAGCTAATCCAGTTACCCCACAAGGTTAGGAGGTCTGATCAGAGGCTTCTGAGGCCCAGAAAGCAGGTCCAGGCCTTCAGGCTTGAGTCAGGGAGCGGGGCTGCAGAAGCAAGCCCTCCACTCCCCATGCCGCTGCTGCCAGTAGGGCTGGTGTCACAGTCCTGTGGGCCAGCGCTGAGTCATTTATTTCTTCCCCAGCAATCCAGGGAGATGGGCTTTGGGAGCCCCTTTCACCATCCATCTGTCCAGCCTCCTGTTTGCAATGAGATATGTGGTCCACAGTGGAGCACACAAGGTGACTCACTGACAGAGGGAAAGGAGAGAGGCAGGGCAGACAGGACAGGGCTGCCGAGGGGGTCAAGTGCGAAACACAGAAGGAAGGATATTCCCACTCTCATCAAGGAGGGAAGGACTGGTCAGCAGCTGGGCTCAGAGAAGCCTGTCTTAAGGAGGGCAGAGCAAGGCCTGAGGCTTCATTCAGCCACTTAATATTTATTGAGCTCCTACTGTGTGGCAGACAATTTATAGCCACTGAATAAGGACACAGAAAGAACAAAAGTGTCCCCTTAAATTTCCACAGTAAAAATATGCAAATAATGTAAGAGAAACAACAGAAACATTTTCAGAGAGTGCTACAACTTGCAGAAGGCTTCCAAATCTTGTGTTTTCTCTTCTACAATATATATCATGCCAGCTATCTTTGGGAAGAACTGTGCAAGTCAGGACTAACAGTTGTGTCTATTCATCATTCTCTTTGAAAAGTGCTTTATAAACCACAAAGAGTTTCCAAAATTTAAGGATTTTTTGAGTAGAAAGCTCCCTAGACTTGGAATCGAAGGACCTGGCTGATTTTTAACAATTGTATGACTTTGGCCTCAATGAGCCTCAGTTTCCTTACATGGAAAATGGAGACGAAAAAAAGGCCAACCTCACAGCAAACAGGGCAGTTTCCCCCCTCCCTCCACAGCAGGGAGTAGTCTCAGGGTCCTCCCAGCATCCCTCTCCCACCCAAACTGGCCAACCAGGCTCCTCAGGACCTCTGCAGGTGGCCAAAGTGGCTGCTTAGGACCTGCCCTCTGTTTGAGACATGTCCTTTTGTGACTTCTTACTTCTCTCGTTCTTATACTTGTACTCAACCTCTTTGAACTTACTTCTAAATCTAAAGAAACAGACAGCGTTACACCTGCCTCACCAGGCTGCTGGGAAGAACTTCCCCGCGACTTGCTCAGCACTCCCTGACAGGACACAAGCTGCTGCAGGAATGCGATGGGCAGGATGCTTCCAGTTGCAGGTGGCAGAAACCCAATCAAATGGAACCAAAAGAGAGGGCTTTATTGGCTCACGTGACTGAAAAATGCAGGAGAGCTGATGGTAGGCCTACTGGGCCTGGAGACTCACACTCCACCTGGAGCTCTCGTCACTTCTGTCCATCGCCCTTGTCTGCTGGTCTCTGTTGGACAAGCAAGCATTCTCCATGGGGAGGGAGCATGGCAGTCCCCAGGCCCCAGCCTTATCACCATCTAACCAAAAATACATAAATACGTATAATCGTCTTTGTATCTAATTACTATCTTTAAGTCCTCACATGTTAGATCAAAAAGATAGGCATTTTGGGGCTTCCCTGGTGGCGCAGTGGTTGAGAGTCCACCTGCCGATGCAGGGGACACGGGTTCGTGCCCCGGTCCGGGAAGATCCCACATGCCGCGGAGCGGCTGGGCCCGTGAGCCACGGCCGCTGAGCCTGCGCGTCCGGAGCCTGTGCTCCGCAATGGGAGAGGTCACAACAGTGAGAGGCCCGCGTACCGCAAAAAAAAGAAAAAAATGATAGGCATTTTTGTCTGTCTGGTCCAGCGCTATAGTCCCAGGGCCTATCTCAGCACAGAGCACGTGTTCAATAAGTGCTTTTCTGAATTAATGAATTGTCCCTTTAAGCTCTCCCTCCCAATTACCCTAAAGATACCAAACCAAGCCACTCTAGGCCTGTTAAGATTTTGTTCTACTCCCATGTTCCCCCAAATCCCAGACCTTCAGGCTGAAGCCAGATATTCCATAATGTAGAGTATGATGGGCAGGTGCCCCTTGGAGGCATTATGGGGGTGGGCTCTGGGGCCTGGGTGTAGCCAGGGAGGGGCCCAGGGAGGCCTGGCCTAGAGCATGCTCCAGCCATCTTTAGGGAAATCTTCCTGTCCCCTCCCTCTGGGGCTGCTCGGCCTGGTGGACAGGAGGGAGGATGGCAAAAAGCCCCACTCTGCAGGTCTCCCTGTCTAGGATCCCTTCTCAAGATTCCCAGTGGAACAGCTGAGCCTTCAAAAGTTTGCTCGGCTCAAGCATCCCGGATGTCCAGCCTGCCCAGTCGGTTTGAA